GGCTTTCACAGAGAATGCTGCTCCACTCTTCAAAGAAGGCCTCCCGGTACCTGCCAGGTCATATCAGAAGCCGTAATACTGATGAGACCATTCACACTGGGTGTACAGGTACTAACCGTTCCTGATCTCCTGAGAGCACTGAAGGTGGGTGGCAATTTCATTGTATAGACAGGCAAACCAAGGCTCAGGCTGTATGATCACTGAGAAAGTCATTCAGATCTTCCAACTCCATGCTCATAGCTCACTTCCTGGGCAGGCAGGCACGCCAGTGTCACGGGCACTAGTCAACTAGGAAGCACCACAGTCACAACTCACGCTCCAACAGCAACATTTCAGGGTGAGGGGTAAGCCACTGGAAGGCATATAGGACAGGACCCTGGGGAAGAGTCAGGGTAGCAGAGCATACAGTCAGCACTATCTGTCTATTAAAAACACAGATGGGGGAGGGGTGTGACAAGTCACAAGTGGTGAAAGCGTCTGAAAACTCCTAAAGGACTTCCCTGATACACAGCCCTGGCTCCTGCTGTGGAGGTGCTGTGGGTCTAGCCAGCAGTTCTGGAGGCTAGAAAGCCAACAGCACAGTACCATCGGCAGGACAAACAGGAAACATGAGGAGGGCTTCCCTCTGTAACAACCCACTCTGGAGGACTAACCCAGTCCTTCTAGAGCTACAACTCACACAAGGAGAGCATTGATTGTGCTTCCCAGCCCAACAACTGTAAAGGCCATGATCTTCTCCATTGTTACACATGCAAAGTAAACTTTGCTGGGGACAAAGCCCATGGAAACTACAGCAAGTCATATTATGCAATGCATAACATTCAGACTCCTTTCCCCAGAATGAATGTTAGACAGCCTCTTAGAGCTTTGATTATAAAACAGGGGGAGGGGGAGGCAGGGAGCAACAAAACACCAACAGGAGAAAAATCCAAATGCTTGGCATTTTCATCTGAGTTTGGTTAGCAGTAGATGAGACCCCCTACCGGCCCCTACTATACTCTGGTAGAATAAGAATATACTACATAAGAAAAACAGGCTAGAGAGATGGCTAAGCAGTTAAGAGCACTGGCTGCTTTTCCAGAGGACCCAGGTTCAATTCCCAGCAATCACATGGCAGCTAACACCTGTCTGTAACTCCAGTTCCAGGGGATCCAACTCCCTCACACAGACATACATCCAGGCAAAATATCAATGTACATAAAATGAAAATAAATAAATACCTTTAAAGAAAGAATTCTAGAAACAGCAATACTGCTCTAGGGGGGAAGTATAATGCTGGGCTGGTGAGATGTGCAGTGGGTAAGGGATTTCCTGCCAATCCTAAATACTTAAGTTCTATTTACAGGCCCCACATTGTGGAAGGAGAGCACACTCCTCTGCTTTCACAGGTAAGAGTCATGATGTGCCAGCATGCGTGTATACACACACCCACACAAAACACACAAAATAAATAAGTGAATGAATATAATAAAACGTTTTCAGATATAATGTTACATCTATGGGTTTGCTTGACAGACACATTTTAAAACTAATTTATAAGACAGTTTTTCCACATAGAACAGACCCAGATTCCAAAACTCATCAACAGCAAGCAGTTTCCAGACTAACATTGGAAACAGAAAGTCTGTTTAGTCTATTATATACAAAAGCCCTCCAACTATTTTAATCAGAATTTCAGCGAGGAAAGCCAAGTCAAAATTCTAAACTGCAAACAATCAGTAGCATTTCCCAGCCCAGGAGGGTAGTACATGGTGGAAATCTCAAAACTTGGGAGGCTGAGGCAAGAGGACTGTGAGTTCAAAGACAGCCAGGGTTAGTGATACACCATGTCACCAAATCAAAAAACAGAGAACAAGCAGGACTGAGCACATGCCTGTAATCCCAGCACTCAGGAGTACACAGGAGGACTCCTCAAGTTGGGTGAAGACTGCTCTACAATAGTGAGTTCTAGGGCAAACCTGTCTCAAAATACAAACCCAAAAACCAAAACCCCAATGCAGGTAATAGCACATGCCCCAGTGATCCGCTGTGCTCCTGTGTCTCACAGTTCTCTAACTGTCCTGACTGGGGAACAAAGGCATCTGTCCTCCACTATTAGAGAAAAGCCGTGTATGTGGGTCTAGCTCTGTCTTCTCAGACCTCAGAGGTGTGACCTGAAGAAGGCAGCACTACAGGTAACATTAAGAAGTGAGGCTCACACGAACCACTCACTTTAACATGGATCCCACATAAACCTCCAAGCCCTCCATCATCTTAGAAGAGCAGCCCTAGCAATGTGCTTAAACTTAACACTGTTCTCTATTTCCTGGGGGAGGTGGGAGGTGCAACTACGCTTGCAGAATGTCATACATCTCTGTCAAAAAATTACCAAGCATGCTGTAGCTGAACACATGGTGTGAGTTCCAGACCAGTCTGGTCTGCACAGTAAGTCCAGGCCAGCCACAGGAAGAACCTGTCTCAAACAAGCAAACGAATTACAACAATAAAAGATGAAGTGGTGCATTTGTGTGTGCACCACTATGTATCTGTGCACAGACAGTCTGGAACAGCATATACCAGAGTACACAGGCATTCTGGGGGATGGAAAAAACAGGATGGGAAAGAAAAGCACAAAGCTCTACATTTCTATTTATGGTAGAGCTAGGGATAAAGCTTCATCTTTATCATGCATCTAGTGCATCTCCAGCCTTTGTTATATTTTGTAACAGGTAACATACAGTCCAGAGTGGTCTTAAACTCACAATCCTTCTGAATCTGCCTCTGGATCATCAGGACTGTAAGTATGTGCTACTATACCTAGCTAAGTTTTATATTTCACCATATCAATTTCTTTGGAGAATTACACCTATTTTTAGTGAACATTTTATTTATTTACCCAGGGTCAATACATATACAAGGCAAGCACTCTACTACTGAACTACATTCCCAGCCTATACATAGAATTAAAAAAAAAATCTTAAAATGTGATGAGCCATTTTATAAAAATGCAATCATAAAAATAATCAGAAATGACAAATATACCTGAATAGGGTAGAATGAATCTAGGGCATATGTAGCTCTGTGGTAAAATGTAGGCCAAATGTGTACAAGAACCTAGGTTTAAGACTGGAAACACATGCACACACACACACACACACACACACACACACACACACACACACACAAAATCAACCTGGGATGATAAAGGATTAAAAAGGCTCCACACGGGTAATACAAACTATAAAATGTCCCGTATTTAATAATAATAAAGAATGACCCAATATTATGTATGTGTAACAAAAAAGCCAGCAAACTATGGACCAAATCTAGCGCACTGAACACACAGTCCCTAGGATTAAATTTAAAATAAATCTATTTTAAATTATGTGCGTGGGTTTGTGCATGTGTGCATGTGTGTGTGTGTGTGTGTGTGTGTGTGTGTGTGTGTGTGTCTGGAAAGGATAGGTTCAGACCTCAAACTCCCTGGAGCTGGAATTACAGGTGGCCATGAGCTGTCCTGAATGGATGCTGAGAACCAAACTTGAACTCAGGTCCTCAGGAAGAGCAGTATACACCTTAACCTCTGAACTACCTCTCCAGACCCCAGGCTTTCACATTTTCTAAGAGTTGGAGCTGGGCGTGGTGGCATTAGCCTTTAACTCCAGGACTCAGGAAGCAGAGGCACTCTGTGAGTTCAAGGAAAGCCTGGCTCACATATAGCATTCTAGACAAGCCATGGTGACATAGTGAGACCCTATCTAAAAGACAAACAAGAACACTAGCTGCTCTTCCAGAGTACCCAGGTTTGATTCCCAGCACCCACAGAATAGCTATAGTCATCTATAACTCCAGTGCCTAGGGAATCTGATGCCCTCTTCTGGCCTCTGCAGGCACCAAGCACACAAGTGGTACAGACATACATGCAGGCAAAATATCTATACATAAAAAAATAAAAATAAATGTACTAAAAAAACCTATTGTAACAGAATGGAAGTTAAAAAAAAACCACCTCATAGTTCAGTGGCACAGCATCTGCTGAGAATACATAAAGCTCTGGGTTCCAGCCCCACCACTAAAACAAAAACAAACAAACAAACAAACAAAAAAAAGTAAAGAAGTTATGTCCTCAAGGAAGTCAAGGAAAAAAGCCATCCTTATTCTGAATAAAACTTGATTCCAGTTTAGAGTCCTAAAGAAGAGCATTTCATTTTTACTACACCCCAAGAAAAACACTAAGATCAAACATATTTGAATGAAAACAACTTTTAATTGAGAGCTGGAAATTAATTTATTCTATAAACATATGGAAATTTCTTATACACCAGTGATTCTATAGACTGAAAACTCAAGCTGCACAGTGGTAGTGCACACTTTTAGTCCCAGCACTTGGGAGGCAGAGGCAGGCAGATCTCTGTGACTTTGAAGCCAGCCTGGTCTACAAGAGCTAGTTCCAGGACAGCCAGGACTACACACACACACACACACAAAACCCTGTCTTAAAAAACAAAAAGAAAACTCAAAAATACAGCCTATGACAATACTTAGAATTCTAAGCACTTGTTTGTTTGTGTAGTACTAGGAATTGAGTCTAGGGCCTTAGACACATTAGGCAAGAACATCACCACAGAATTGTGTCTCCTGCCTCTAACAGTAAGTGCTTTTAATAGTGTATTATTTGGATATTAGTTTCCAATTTGAAAAAAAATTAAGGACAAAAACATCAAATACAGACAATCGGTCAATCAGTTTAACTTTTTCTTTTGAGCATGCTGGGATTGAACCTGAGACCTCATACCCCTGAACAATGACGTTAACACTGAGCTTTCTAACCCCTTCTAACCCTGCTCGGCGATCTTTTAACCTACTTGAAATGAAAGCATCAGAATTTGAAGGCACCAAACTTTTTACAAGAAGATCATACCAACAGAAAAAGGACAAAGGCTATCATTGCTGCAGTTTGGGGAAACTGAGGGTCCTCACTGACCTCTGCAATACATTTTCCTGTGGGGACAGTACTCTACCTCAATGTCCTGAAGACTGAACTCCTTCTGATCTGTGAAGTTTGCAGCCCCAGCACTGAGTTCCATGAGCATCTTGGCGATCTCGGGCTTTATGGCTGACGTCAATCGGCTGGCAGCCTCCATCACATGCTCCTGCACATCTTTGAGCTGCATGGCGGCCTTCGAGTAGTGTGAGTTCCTGAACACGGTGCTGAAGAGATCTGTGAGGAACGTGCTAGCACGGCAAAAGACATTGAGGGCATCCAGGTACTTGGAGATGCCCTGCTGGATGTCAGCAATGGGAGTGGAGTGGGGCATGGCATGGTGGCAGCTGCCTGCAGCGGTCAGACTGCCCAGTGGGGCAGAGGGGGCCGTGGATGCCAGGGGAGCGCTCAGTGCTCGGCCCAACTCAGGCATCGGGTACTGCTGGTGCTGCTGCACCTTCTGCTTGGACCCGCCAAGCAGGAAGCGCCGCTTGTAGTCCATCTTACTGTCCTGGGCACTGCAGCAATACATGCGGGTAGGGAACTGTTCCGGGGACCACTGGCAGGTCAGGGTTCTGAGTCCTTTTTTTCCAAAACTGTAGTTAGGTATAAAAATAGTGGAGTTCTGCAAATCTAAGTTTTAAAAAAGGCATTTCCACGAGGCAGGTGACCATGTGATCCAACATAAAGGTGAGAAAAATAACAGGCTTATATAATTAAAATTTTCAGTGTAGGTAGGAATTCTGACAAAAATAAAAGTGTATCTGAAATGCTGTATAACTGCTCAGCATCCTACCCTCATAAAGATATGCTTGCTGAGGGAACTGCTCACTTATAATTGCTTTGCAAGAATATCTTGATACTTACATTTACAAGAGCAGAAAAATAACTTAACTTTTAAAATGTAATATAATGTATCTTCTATATACCAAAAAGAACCCAACGCTGGTCAACAGCATTTAGGCGGAAAGGGTTACTTCACGAGAAGTCCTTAAGGAAGAGCACACCTCTGCAGGACTGACAGAACCTGCCTGTCAAATCCATTTACCTGGAAAGCTGCTTTTCAGTGCTAAAAACTTCCAAATCTCCTGTAACGGTTTCTGGAGACAAGTCTTCTTTAAGCATGGCATTGTTATTGTGTGTCTTCTTTCTTTTGTTTGCTGAGGTAGCGGTTTCCTTGTAACATTAATAAGAAGTGCTTCCAGACTGGATTGGCCTGTAGTAAAGTCTGAAGTAAGAAAGCACAGATGTATTCATAAGGCCTCTAAGTCATTTCCTGTAGGGGGAAAGAAGGAAGATGAAGTCAGGGAGACCATAAGACAAAGAGCAATTCTGAACACTTCTGCAATGCTTTGCCCTCCACTGTGAGCCTCACAACCAGACACCATAATGAATTCCACAGAAGCAGAACAGGGTGAAGTTCAACTATGAAAAGGAAAATGTTAGAAAGCTACCTGGGTTGGAAAGAAACTATGTCTCAAAAAACAAAAAACAAACTAAAAAAAGGTTTAGGGTCATATTGTCATGCTAATGTGTTCCAGGCCAGCCTGGATTACAGGAGGCCCCATCTCAAAGAAAAGTTTCTCAAATTCTAACAAAGATAATGCAACTAATCAATCCAAAACTAGTTAAGTGGTAACACTTTGAACAAGGCCTGCTCAACATTTGGTATTCTTTTGTTTCCTCTTTAAAGGGCTCACAATGCTACAAGAGAATGAGTTGAGCCATTCCTGGAATTCATGAGGTCCAGAGACTGGTGGTCCCCAAATCTGAGGATATGTAAACTGGGATAGTATTTTGCATGACACCTGTGCATATCCCACCATACAACATAAAAGAGCTGTACAAATACCAAGCACAGTGCTGCAAGCCTGTAATCCCAGCACTTTGGAGGCGACAGCAGAGGACCAACCTAGGCTACAGGGCAGCCTGGGCTAAAAGAAAGACCTTGTCTCAAATAAACAAACAAACTAAATAAACGAATAAAACTTCCAAAATCAAGACAAATGGAGTAGCTTATGGCTCTAATCCCAGCACTTGGGAAGCTGAGGCAGAAGGAATGCTAAAATTTAAAACTAGCCTAGGTTTAAGTACATGGTATCAGTCCAGCTTGAGCTGTACAGTGAGACCCTGTCAAAGGGGACAGACAGGACAGGATTCTGAGTTTAAAAACACAAAAACTAACACAAGAAATATATTATGTGGCTCAACACCAGATCTGAACAGGAAGCAGTAAACCCAGCTTTACTAAGGAATAGAAAGAAGAAAAACAGGAAAGACTCAGATCTCAGAAACCTACGGACACCTTCAAGCATACTAGTGTGGACAGAACAAAGACTATCTGAGGCCTAAGAAGCTCACAAATGTCTAAAAATAAAATTACACATCCAAGAGGGCAAATGTAGTCTAGGAAGATAAACTAAGAACCACACTTAGGATACATTACGATCAAAACATCTAAAGGCAAACACCCAGCAGGGAAAGAAGCAAATGGCACAGAGGTGTCTCTCTTATTAGATAATGTCCACCAGCCAGAAAACCCTGAACCCCTGTTCCTATGTGACTTACAGAACAGTGCTTCCTAGAGCAGGAAGTCAAAACACTTCCAGCAAAAAAAAAAAATCAATCCACAACCTTGTTTCAGTTTAAAGATACCTTATTCCGCTGGGATATAATTCAGTGGTACCATACACAAAGCCTTGGGGGTCAATCTCTAGCACTGAAGACAAAACCCCTCAAACTAATATTGCACTGACTAATGTGAAAGGCATTAATCCACTCGAGAGGACTTTACACTCATGACTAATCCGTCACCTGCCAGTGTTTGCCTCTAAATGGCATTATGTTGGAAACTGGGTTCAGCATATAAATTTTGTGTGGAAATTAATATTCAGTCCATGACTTTTGTATTCTTGGCTCTGGACAGTTCCTTTCAGGCTGCCTGAAGACAATGCCAATCTGTGCTGCCAAGCAAGCGCCCCTGCCGCATCTCTTGCCTAACACACCCCAAGGCTTTAGATTTGATCCCAAGGATTGAAAGGAAAAGGGAAAAAAAATCACACTACAATTCCTCTAAACTTCATAAATAATATGCCTTTAAATTAGCACACAGATTAAAAACCATAATGAAGTTCTGAGACTGTGGGTAGTGAGAGTTGTGACTATTATATTAATGCAGTCAGATTTCTTGACCAGCACAGTGGTATGCAGATGTGCAAGCATGCACCCATACCCATAAAATAATAAAGTAAAAGATATGTGTTTAAAAATGAGTGCACACACACACATGTAAACACCAGTATCTGGGTATATTACTTTGATAATTTTTAAATGTTTAAGATTTATTTAATTTGTATGCCTCATGTACATATATGTTCTGTGTACCTGATGTATATGGAGGTCACAGGAACTAGAGTTATGGATAGTTATAAGACACTATGTGGGTGCTAGGAATTGAATCCAGGTCCTCTGCAAGAGCAACCAGTGCTCTTAACCATGGAGCCACCTTTCAGGCTCTATACTTTCACATTTTTTTTAAAAGAAAATTCTCCCAGAGTGTTTTGCAAATCATTTCTTCCACATTTATCTTCCTAAGAGTTAAACTGCTCAACCCATTAAAAGGACATTTTTCTTTCATACCCTCTTAAAAGAATCATCACCAGGAAAACATTCACAACCTAAGAAGTCACATGCAGTATAGACATAAACATGTACTGTGAAAGGCTGCACAAGTCAGTGAGGCCATGCAGTAACATACTCATAAATCCTAATGCTGCTTACAATTCTCAAACCGCAAAAAAAAAAAAAAACCAGTAGGCTGAATGACACCTATCCAATGGCACAGCAACCTGCAAAGGTTCTCAACAACTCAGACCCAATTACATCATTTACAACATCCCTTTCTCTAAACTAACCAACAAATTCTATTTCAAACAATAGAAAACATTCTTGAAACCAGATGGGAGAGCCAGCATAAGAACATTCTTGGGCCCCCAGAAGGAAAATTCGAAGTGCTATTTGCTCAGGAAAGTGGTAGAAGCACACTTCCCTCTAGGGGCCGCTTAGGTCAGCAGTACTGAGGTTAGTTAAGCATGGCCTTATAGGTCTGACTGTCTGGATGAGGTCCTGGTTCTGCATGCCTATACATATCAAAAACAGAATACACATATCTATTTATGTACATAAATACATATAAGGGGGCTGGAGAGATGGCTCAGTGGTTAAGAGAATTGCCTGCTCTTCCAAAGGTCCTGAGTTCAATTCCCGGCAACCACATGGTGGCTCACAACCATCTGTAATGAGGTCTGGTGCCCTCTTCTGGCCTGCAAACATATACACAGACAGACTATTGTATACATAATAAATAAATAAACATTTAAAAATATATATATATAAACAGTCTATAGATATCAAAAACAGAATAATATCTGGCACATACTAAGTATTAATGTTTGATGATATCAAGTCAAGAGAAGGTAAGCAGGCTTCATTATCTCTGCTTGTCTGGAAAAACAGTACTGACAAACAAGAAAGGCTTTGTTAAGTTACCCAATGCCTAAACCAAACAGAAACCTACTACCCTAGGATGGAAGGTATCACATGCTTCATGAACACTAATCTCTACTTAAATACAGTAAACAAAGAGAAATGAATCCCTGAATGAGTTCATTAAAAGCTCCTGTTTGACTAAAATTTGCTCTGATTTGTGAATGCAGTGTGTGTGTGTGTGTGTGTGTGTGTAGGGGGTTAGGGATCAAATTCAGATCTCACCATGGGCAAGCACTCTAAAAATCACCGATCTACATGCTACATCCTTAGTCTCAGCCAGAGAATAATTTTCAGCCCATTTCAGTCATTCAGGCAACAGAGAAAGCAGAGTTGTAGGCGGCTCTGTTGTAGGCAATAGAAGAACACAGAGGAGACTCACGGAGGACCGCAGGTTAAGAAACACATCAACTCCCTTCAGCATTCTCCCCAATCTCTGGAGCACACGAGTAAAGCTCTTCACAAGAGAATCAGCCACTGTTTAAATGTAAGCCACTGCTGAGAGGAAAGAGAGCTCAGGAAATGCGTTGTATTCTAAGATACAGCACAGCAGAGCTGGCCACTTCCTAGATTCCACAGAGCCAAGAAGGTACAATGAGGTGAGCAATGCTTCCTGGAGGAGCTGGGTAAGTGCCCAGCTCAGAGTGGGCAGCGACAGAGATTAGGGGTGGGAAACAATGTAATCAGCTTCATTGCCTCTATACTTCCCACTTGACCACTGAGTCAGCCAGTTCCCACAAAGGACAGGACTGCCAGAAAGAGGAACCTTCTGCTAATTACCTTCATATACGCAGGTTTGTTTGGTTGTTTGGTTTAGGGATGGGACCAAGGGTTAAGCTTATGCTAGGGCTAGACAAATGCTCTATCACCAAGCTACACCTCAGCAGAACAAATCAGTTCATTTTTTAAAAATCATATTACATTTCTTGTGTGTGTGTGTGTGTGTTTGTGTGTGTGTGTGTGTGTAAGAGAGAGAAGAGACATGCCACAGTGAGTGTATAGAGGTCAAAGGGCAACTTGGAGGAGTTGTTTCTCTTCTTCTACTACATGGTTGCTTGCTAAGTAATCTTGCCTGCCCAGAGTTCTTTATTACTAACCACCCGATAATGAAGACAAACCAAAATGACATCAAAGGACACTAAACCAGGTGTGATAGCACATGCTACTAATCCCAGGACACAGGAGGGCAGAAGTAAGATGATCTCGGTGAATTTGAGACCAGACTGGGCTTCATAGTGAGAGCTTTAAAAAAAAAAACAAAAAACAAAAAACAAACTAAGATGAAAAGATCAGTTCTTTAAAAATAAACCTTATTTTAGCAGGCGGTGGTGGCGCACGCCTTTAATCCCAGCACTCGGGAGGCAGAGGCAGGCGGATCTCTGTGAGTTCGAGGCCAGCCTGGTCTACAGATCAAGTTCCAGGACAGCCAGGGCTATACAGAGAAACCCTGTCTTGAAAAAACAAAAACAAAAACACATAATCCCCAAAACACCTCACTTTATAGCTGAGGGTATTTTTCCTTCTGATCCTCCTATAGCCACCTCTTAAGTGCTGGGATCAGAGGCTGCATTGTAACCATGTGACACTCACCATGCCTAGATTTATATGGTCTTGAGACTTGAACCCAGAGCTTCGAGCATGCTAGGCAAGCATTCCTCCAACAAAACTATACTCTCCTGCCAAGAAATATGTATTTTAGACCCTACAAAAATACCTGTGCTTGGTGAAGCA